AATAGAGACCAAATAATCTCAATAAATCATAAACAAGATTTGATTGTAAGCGTGAAGTGAAGGTGAGACGTGATTCTTATATGTATTATTTATATGATAAGACTTCGAATTCTCGACCTAAGATAAGTGATTAAGATATATTATCTCAATCATACTAAAATTATAAATGTATAGATCATGTAAAAATAATATAAATATTATTGAAAAACAAGTGATATAATATTATGTCTCCTTAGTTGTTATTATTATTTATAGATGATTAAGATTTTGTATTTTTAAGCTTGCAACTGGTTTGATTAAAATTAGGAGTTTATTTTGATCATTTATAAAGTTCTCGAGTAGACCTTACAATAATTTTTATTTTGGTCATCAAAATACTATAACAAACCAATTTTTAATTTTTATAGGTGATGTTGTTCCTAAACTAATATAAATACCTCCTTAAATCATAATATAATATAATAAATGATTTTTAATGTGTTTTGGTTTTATTCAGCTTATTTTTAGCATTTTTAGATAGATTTTATGGTATTTTTATTATGGCGATCAAAACACTATAACTAATTTTGAGTAACAATTTATGTATATTTTGAATTAAGAGTACTATTAGAAAAATAAAAGAGAAGATACAGTTTAGGAAACACATAAAATATATATTTTTTAAAAAAATTACCTAATAAAAAAAGATTGAAGATTACAAAGGAAAAAGAGGACAAAAAATGACTGACAACTTTGTTGACAAAAATAAGCCTAATCACTGACTTCCTATGAAAAGGCATTAATATTTTTCTTAACTTTGATTTATATATTTTAATGATTTTATTTTATTTTTTTCTCATCGAATAGAGAATTTGACATATGAACAATTCAATGTCATGTCATGAACTTTTGAATTTCTCATATTTTTCATTAACACAATCGATGTGTAAACTGATTGGCTTATCGACCTGATTTTTTTCTTTCTTATTTATAAATAAAAATAAAAAATTGAAAAAGAAAGAAAAGCTGGCATTAAATCATGTTCAAATTAAGATACTTGGATAATTTGTGATGGTAACCTTTACATGTGTCACAAACCACCAAACACAAGTAGTAAATGTTACTACCACTTGCATGAAATGATTCTTAATCCTGCTTATACTTTGCTTACCGTCTGTGCTTAGGAAAGAATCACATGGATCCATCATATGATGACGCCATAATCGTGACCATACGGAAAGAGTGTTGATGGTGCCATATTGAAACCCTAAGAGTCTCGATGAAGCTTTGGAGGCCGAATTCCATGGAAAGTATCATCAAAGACTTGTCCTTTATTCCAGGAGAACGCAACAGAAGACTTGCATCTAAAGCGAGTCATTGATTTTATTTTAAGAAGAGTTTTTGTATTAAATAAAGCAAATTTTCTTCTAAAATATAAGAAAATTAAAGCAAAATCAAAGATCAAATAAATTTTAATAAAAATGACTGATGAAGACTATAAAAAGTGGAGACTTTATAAATTTATGATTTTAGGAAAAAAACATGTAATTATTTTATAACTGCATTATGTAATCCCATATATATATATATATATATATATAGTTAGGATTTAGTGCGATAAAAAAAACATCGATTTAAAATTTTCATTCGATAAAGCCCATATAAGAAAGTGTTTAAACTCAGAGAGCAAGTGAGCGTATTAGATAATTGAATCAATAAGTAATAAGAATGAAAAGCAGAAAGAAAGTGCACATCGAGTTTATAGTGGTTCGGTCGTTACGACCTACATCCACTCCTGATTCCTCTTCCATTAATACCATCGGCATTTACTAATGATCTTCTTTAAATGGGCGAATGCCAACTACCCTCTTTACAACTCTCTCTTTTTCATAGGCTATAAAGAGAACATTTATATCTCTCTCTTTTACACTAGACCTCACTCCTCATTTAGAAGAACTTCTAAACCTACAAGGAAGAGACTTTATACTTCAAGAGAGTTTATAACTTTTTTTCTTAAGGCTTCGTTCCCTCTTTTTTTTACTTCTTTTCTTGCTTACCCAAGCAGGAATAACTAGGGTATTTATAGAACCCAAATGACTTAAAAATAGAACAAAAAAAGATTTCATCCTGAGTTTCTAAGGTACTAACGGTACCACTGCTTGTGGTGGGCGGTACCATTGCATGTAGCATTGCCAATTGACAATACTATACATATATATACATATATAAATATGTATATATATATGTATATATATATACATATATATATATATATATACATACATATATATATATATACATACATATATATATATATACATACATATATATATATATATATATATATGAGACAAAAGTCAATTCTTCTATGACTTTTGATGTATTGATGGTGTCATATTGAAACCCTAAGAGTCGATGAAGCTGTAGAGGCCGTATTGCATGGAAAGTATCATCAAAGACTTGTCCTTCATTCCAGGAGAAAGCAAGAGAAGACTTGGATCTAAAGCGAGTCACTGATTTTATCTTAAGAAGAGATGTTGTATTAAATAAAGTATATTTTTTTATAAAAATATGACCGACGAAGATATATCTATTGACACTACAAAGTCGAGACTTCAGAAATTGATGATTTAGGAAAAAACATGTAATTATCTTATTACTGCATTATGTAATCCCATAATTGTTCCAAAATTGACTATGCT